TATATATATTATATATATATATATAACTTATGTCAACTTAAGTGGACGCTCCACTAAGTTCTTAGTCATTGATGATCACTGTGATTGAGCTACATTGTGGATAATCCGCTCCGTTAAACTTGATCTACATATTCTAAAAACCCCAACACACCAAATTTGGGGTAAACCCATCGTGGTTTGACCATTCATCCACTCGTATCAATTTTAACGGTTTCGAATGAATAAACTTTTTACATTGGCTCGACGGAGGGTCAAACCACGACGGGTTCACCCTAAATTTGGTGTATTGGGGTTAGAATATGTAGATCAAGTCTCCACGGAGTAGATCATCCATAATGTAGCCTCAATCAAGTGGCATCCTCACAGATGACTAAGAAACTTTGTGGACGGTCCACTTAAGTTGACATAAGTTTCTCACTCTCTCTCTCTCTCTCTTCCTCTCGCTCTCAATCATAATAGTACTATAGTACTATATTTATATATAATTTAAAGAGATACGTATATGTATTATAATAATGTACGTAGTACCACTTGTATATATTCAAATCATATTTGATCCATTTGCGCCCCTAGGGCTTATGGTCATACTCATTACCATACTATCTCTAGTCAGATTATACATTGCACAAAATTCGCTTTTAATTATGGATTCTTGAAATTTTGATGGATGAAACTTTTAAAATGTCATCCTTTGGAAATGTAAAAGTTAGAAAGCTACTGATTAAGAATCTTTGGAAGCTTCACTGTGGAGGTTTTTAATTGACAAGGGGGTTAAAACAAAGAATGCATTAAAAATTAAGCAGGATACTGAGAACATGGTTGAACGCTCTTGATATTAAGACTTTAACAACTGATACTGCAAATTTTGTAGTATTGCCAGGTTTTCCTTCTCAATTTTGGTCTACACATTATTGCTTTGCAAATTAAAATTGGGAGCGTATGCTCATTGAAGGAGTTGGGATTACCTGATACACATTGTTGGCAAATTTACCCGACCTTTTGCATGAAGATATTATGTAACTTTGTATCAATATCCCAATATTGTGAAAACTCGTGAGTCTTTATTATTGACAATTTATGCATTTTTTTGTTTTACCTAAGGCTATGCTCATGTTTGATATCTACATGACATGCAATGAAACATATTATTACTTGTTTTAATCTATCCAGGCGAGTTCATATTATGCCACGAATAATTCTACTGCATGCTTTATTTGTAGACACATAACTTTAGAAGCTTAGTTAGTTAGTTAACAGACTAAGTGAGTAAGTAAGACGCGAAAGACTTCAGAGAAAAACACTTCTATTTTGGCCTTTAGGAATGGTGGCCATTAAATGCACCAATTAGGAGAAGTGACAAAGAAGTAGAGGTAGGCCTAACAAAATTTCCATTTGGAAGAAAGTGTCAAAAATATGTGATGATGATTAAGTTAATGAGGAGATATCCCTCAACCTGAGTCAAAGAGGTAGAATTCATGTAGTTGACCCCAAGAATCGGGATAAAGGTCTCGTTGTTGTTGTTGTTGTTGTATCCTACTACCCTTGCTTATACTTAAGTCTAGTCTAGTCTATACCACAACAATCGAGAGCATTCTGTCACATTCTAAAGGACTTTTAACACATTTCGAAATGTTGCACAAAGATTCTAGATAATTCTAGAACACTCTAGATTGTTGTAGAAATTTATAGAATTTTCATGTGTTGTCAAAGTTTTTACTCGTACTATCTCAAAGTTGTTTGTTATCTTTACAGGCTCGACCGCTTCTACTTCATGCTCTTGAGACAGGAAACTGCGACGAGTTGGTGGATCCAAGGCTGCAGGGAAACTATAATAAGATCGAGATGTTTACTATGATCGAAACTGCAGCTGCTTGCGTTCGACATTCTGCTCCTAAGCGACCTCGCATGGTTCAGGTAAACATATTTGATTTCTGTTAAGAGCTTATAAGATCTTCTTCTCGCGGCATATGAATGTTTGAAGGGTTAATTGCACATCGATTCTCTTTTTCAACTTATACAATTGCTGTAGTTTCATTGCTGCAGATAGACCCCCTTGGATAAACCATTTTGTTTCTTCTAACCTGAAAGAAAGATAAAGTTGTTTTTTGACAAATAGAACCCTCTGAGGGTAAGAAAAAAGTTCACTTAGGGATATATATTTGCAAAAATAATAGTAGAGGGATAATAAGGTCAAAACATCGGGACTACACCGGGTCTACATGCAACCTAACCCTTATAAAATATAGTTAACAAACTGTTAGCTATGTTATAGTAAGCTAAATTAAACTCTCAAAAGTTAAAATCACGCAAATGGTCGACGTATTTGTCACATTCTTATGAAGTAACTTTTAACTTCTCTCTTCAAGGTGGTGAGATCATTGGACTGCCAAGACGAGATGCAAGACCTAACCAACGGTGTAAAATACGGCCAAAGCCAAGCCTTCAACTCTGACCAGTATTCTGCCGACATCCAAAAGTTCCATCGCATGGCCTTTGACGACGGCGACAGCTATGAGTTTGACTCCGTCGAGTATGACCGCCGCACCGCCGCTAGTGGTGAGTTACGCAAGCAGCATCAGCAGAATAGCGCGCTGAAGCCCGCCGCCGCCAATCAGCACTTTGGCGAGTACCCGAGTGATGAGTCGGATACACGCGCTATGTTTCGCAGCGAAAGGAGCAACGGCCGTGGATATAGTTAAGGTGGATTTTGCTTCTGCTCAGTTGCCGGAGTTTACCCCAAAAATTTGGAGTCAGTTACATGAATCATATTCCTTCAATCATACTCCTTCATTCAGTTCTGTGAGGGGTATCTCCTTCCGTTATACGTTATAACAAAACGCGTGTTCAAGCCCTTCTGGAAACGGGGTAAAATTTCATATTGGGAAATTGTATAGAAGAAATGATGAACAGAAGACAACAGATTTAACTTATATATTTATTTGTAAATTGTGGCAGAACCAAATTGACAATTTTGTATAGAGAAAAAAATTGGTGGACAGAAGACAACAGATTTTAACTTATGTATTTACATTTGTGAATCGCCCGAATTTAGGCAAGCTACGTGAATCATATTCTTCCGTTCAGTCCTGTTTAGAGCTACCTCCTCCTACTAAGTCCGGCATAACAAGCTTGTATATAAGCATCATCCCCTTGTAAACTAGAGTAATTTTCACTTTTACAGTTCTAAGACGATCTTTAGCTAGGCGTTGTGCAGTTATCACGTCATAAAGTGGTATGTTTGTGAAATGTACAGTTACTGAGAAATTAAAGGAGGATGAACAGAAGGCAACAGACTGATATTTTCATTGGTACTTCACATTTGTTCAAGGCGGTTTTATTCTGAGGCGGTCAGGGACGCAGGAGAAGAAGAGAGAAGGTGACAGAGGAAGAAAGAGAGGGATCATGGAAGAAGATCATAACGGAGATGAATTTGTGAATATCAGTGTAAAAAGACCGTCACGATAAAAGTTGATAACTTACCTTCTTGCAAGTCTCGGCAGAGGTTGAGGGGAGACATCTCGAGAGAGTGTCTTTTTTTTTAAATATTTAAAAGGTTCAAGACCCTAATCTAAGTATTTTATCTAAAAGATAGATTTGGATCGACTCAACCCATTTTGATCTGATCTGCATTCTTCATCCACAGTCGTGCATGAGCGGACGTACAACCGTTTTTTAGGCTTAATTGGTGTGAACCGGCTGGTCCATGGCCGCATCAGAGCATTTGTCATCCAGCTATTTGTAAAAATATTCATAGGAGTCAGGGTTGTCAATCACGACTAACTAGGAACACTTCGGGTTAAAGTATTAGGGGTTGAAAACCCCAACCAAAATGGCTTTTTTATAAAAATATACGATTAAGACCACTGATTAACAACTACGACCATTGATTAACAACTGATTGAAATATGGGCATCCCGTTCATTAGGAGCTGACTGGTCTTAATCAACACCTAATGAAAGGGATGCCGATTAAGATTGGTCTTAATCAGCTCCTAAGGAAAAGGATGCGCGTGCGTATGGTGGATATTAATTTTTTTTTATAAAATATACGCAAGTGATTAAGAATATTTGGGCACTAATTAAGAACTGATTAAGAACTAATTATGTGCATCCCTTTCATTAGGAACTTTTCATTAGGAATTCATTTAGACCATTTTGGTCGGGTTCCAAACCCTGAATAGTTTGCCCCCCGACTAATTAGGACATCGTTTTTTTTAAACGACCCAGTTTCTAGCCACGATGCTGACGTGATCGAAACTGGATCGTTTTTCTTTAAATTGTTTTGGAATGAATCGATTTTTGAGATTAAAGTTAGGAACTCGAGAAAAAATGAAAACGCGAAGTGGGAGAGCACTCAAAAGAGAGCGACCTTATCTGATCCGGGAGTACTTCTTTCTCATTAACTCGCAATCCCATCCAACAACTCCTCTCTCCAAATATAATGAGTACTAGAAAATTAACATTCTTGTATAGGAAATTAACTTTCTCATTTACTGTTTTGGAATAGTTTATTTTCTTATAAGGCACTTCAATAGATTTTCAGTCCTTAATGTTTGGAAGTCATCACTCAAGTTCCTAACATTACCTCTCTCATCAACCTATGTTATTTTTACAAAATTCTATTAAATCTTGCTAATGTGGTGATGAGCCGATGACATGGCATGTCAGCATAAAATTTGTGAAATTCCAAGTTCAATACAAAATTGTAATTTTACTATTTTTTGTTGATGTGCCAGGATAAACATGAACTTTCACTAATTTTTTTACTAACGGTGGCTATACCATATCATCACCTCATGACTAAAATTTAACAAAAGTTTGTAAAACAGACAGACTGATGATGAAAGTACCTTTGTGGGATCCCTACTGATGATTTCCAAACATTAAGGACTCGAATAATATTCTGCGGATACCCTAGGGACCTCCATTAAACTTTTTCCCTCTTATAACTGTGGGATAGTTGAACTATTAAGACAAAAGAAGGATAAATATCATCAAGCATGATCAAATCCAATAGGTTCACATTTTTTTCCCCAAAAAAATTTAGGCGGATATGCTTCATAACACAACGTGAAGATAGATGTGGTATCCACAGGATGCACAGTAGATGCTCTTCTCGATCTCATTACATTAAAATAAGGTGTCATAAAATGATTCGAAATGCTGACATTTACAGCCGTAGGAGCGAGGGAAAAAAGATAAATCCAAAATCAGACATCGTTAAATTCTGATTCAGATCCATCCCATATTACTTTGTAGCCTTGGACGATTTCTTCACCCATAACTCTTGCATCAAGAGATACCTGAGCCATCAGAATCTTCGAATCTGCATATTCATTGTGGCAGTTACGAGGAGGCCTGAAAGTTCAATGAGAGTCAGATCAATTGTAAAATATATACGTTTGTCGTACTTGGTTGGAGTTCTCTTGCTTGGAGTGGTGAAGGTTTCTGCTACTGAAGTTGGGGGTGTGCTTGAATCTTCGACTGTTCGAATCAGATCTGCAAATGAGCTTGCACATGGCCATCTAAAGAAAAATACGAAGAGGGATGCATTTCAATAAGAAATCGTATTCCAAGTATTGTGATCTTCAACATTATTTTATCAGCTTCAGTAATATAGAAACCTTCAACCTGATAGTTTGAGAGAAGCTGCATTGCTGGAACAAGGTAATTGATTACGGCCTCAGAAATTTTCTGATGAGCCGCTCTGCCTTCACTGTAGTACAAATGTTAAGTTAGTCACAAGTCTGATGAGAAAAGTTTGACCCATCAGAGATCACCTCTGTTGAAGAACTTCTATAACTCGTCTAGCTAGCTTATTTTGTATATGGAGCCATTATTATCATCATCATCAAACAACACGTAGGCGGTTGGCTCTCTATGGAGCAGCAATCAAGGCAATGATAAAAGGGATTGCATTTAAAACAAAAATTTCAACCAGCTTTTCTTCTGGCAGCATGAGTAGAAGAAAGCCTCTTTGCCCAGAGACTTTCACTGGGAGACCATGATATGAGGGAACCATTAATAGCACACCATCTTAGGCTGAGTAAAGCCGTAGCAATAAATTCCTGAGATTCTTCAAAAATCTCAACAATCTTTGATTCAACATCTAGTTCTTCACTGTGGAGAAGGTCCTCATATGCAGCCTTATAATCTTTAAGGATATTCTCGTCTTCAGAGATCATTCGCAAGCTCAGAACTTGCAATGCTTCCATAGCAGTGCTGTGAAAACCACATTCCACATAGGCACAGAATGCGTACCAACATGTTGACGGATTTGGTTGGATCTTTTCTTTGTGAATGAGCTCAACGATAAGCTCAATTATGTCAATTCGGCCCTGATGGAATCATCAAAAAACTAAGTTCAGTTGGTGCATAACACTAAAATGCTTATAATGGATACAATAAGTTTGCATTATTACCTTTTGATTTGCTTGTTTCAAAATTGTATTAAACAGTTGGATATCAAGTTCATTTTCTTCAGATCTCACTTGATCCAAAAGACTCATTGCTGAATCAAAATCGTCATTAGCTAAAAGAACCTGATAACGAATGAAAGAAAGGATTAGAATGTAACTTGGTACTTCATTCTGCATGTATAACAGGACCATATCTCAGAGATGTGTTCTCGAGAAAATGCCAGCTGAGACAGTTCCAAAAAAAGCAATTACATATTTGGTTTATTCCGGAGGACAGATTTAACAGAGAAAACATCACAGAGAAAATAGGTGCATCGCCCTCCTCTTCGAAAAGTCATGCAACTGAGTGGTACATGCATTATGACAAACTATAGAATATGAGATGTTAGGATACCTCGTGCATTTTCTGAAGACTCCTCCAGTATTGCATAAACTTATATACTATTAATCTAATCACTTCTGCATCCACATTTAAGAGTACTGTTTGGGGCCCTATAGGGACGTCTGCACACTATAGCATGGAACCACCTTCAAGAATGACAGAAAATGAGAAATAGAATAAGCCAAGAGGGATACCACAAGAATTCCTTGAAGACTCTTGACAGTCTTGCATGAACTTCTATACTACAAGTCCTTCGTTGGTCTAGGATCCTGAAGGGACATCTGGACACGATAACAAGCATGGAACCGCCCTCCTAGGTATGAAAACAAATGACCAATATGCAACCATGTCATTATCTAATGTAGCTCACCTAACACCTAGATGCAACTTCTTTTGTGAAGAAGCCATATCAACAAATGTGTGCAAGAGGTCAGAGCAACAGAACTACTGGTTACTGGTCAGAAACTAAAAGATAATAGATGTCTAACAAATTGAAGAATCAGGATGGACTGGTGCACCATGCTACAGTGTTTTCTTTTTTCCAGTGAGAGGCCAATCCTTTCACATTGAATGCATATTCCCTGAAGTCAAATACAACTTCCAAACTCAAATAAAGTGGAATGATTAAATCATGACTAACATGCCTTAATTACAAAACTTAATTATAAAATAAGCATTGAATAAAACAAATTACATTTGGAGTAGTTGAATGAGTTAGAGAAGGTTTATGAAAACTACCTTTATAAGTGCATTATATGTCAATGTTTGAGGAACAAAACCATCACGTAACATCAAAGACAGCAATGCAGATGCAGACTTGAGACATCCCAATATGCTGCAACATTCTACCATCATATTATATGTTGCCACATCAGCAGGGAAACCAGAGAGTCGCATATCTTTGAATAATTCAATTGCAGTTGAAGTCTACATTTCATAGAAAATAATAACTATCAACCTTTGATGCATAAGATTGAATATATCAAGGGAAACATAAAACAGCAGGAGCAGTTGACACTATATTTATATATTGCAGAGAACTGCGAACATGCACTTACTTCTTTAGCCTTGACGAATGCATGCAGCACAATATTGTATAACTCCAATTTTTCATAAGGATCTATGTTCCATTGCATGCTTTCTGCTATATTTAGATACCGGAGCATTTCTCCTATCATGCCCTCAGCTCCAAGAGCTCTTATCTGAAATTGTGGAAATAAGGAGATCAGATTCAGCTCCATCCTTGAAAAATATATTCACTAGAAGGGAAAAACACATACTTGATTAAATTAAAAATGAGAACTGAAGGAGGGTATTAAGAGAGAGGAATAACAGAGAAACAAACTGAAATTCGACGAGGTATTTAAAAAAAAAAGATGATCAAATTGTACAGCAGATGGTTTCTACCAACACAGCCGCATAACCTGGGTATATCTAACATATAGTACCTTGGCAAGCATTCATATGAATAATTTTACTATGCCATGAAAAATCTCATACTATCTGACATAAGAGTTAAGCCCACTATCATGACAGTAAAAAAAAATCATGCAATACTTGCATATGAGCTCAATCTCAAATATTTTTTTTATAAAAGTTGAAAAAATTAATATGTATATAACAGGTTCATTTCATATGGGTACTTACAAAACCTTAAGTGTAAAGCACTGTTTGCGATCAGTTTGATATATAAGCATGGAAAAACAGCGTGTTTCCTCTAACAATAAGTTTCCTCTAACTATGCAAACTATAATAATAGATGCAAGAACGGCAGCACAACTAATAAAACATTAAAACTACACATCATCCTGCAGTTATTAACAAAAATGGCATACAAAATGTTTACAAAATGACAAAGTTAACAGAAGGATTGTTCACTTGCACCTAAAAGCAAATGCTTGAATAACCATCAATGTATACAATGGACCACTTGAGAACCCTATAGCTACCACTCTATATGTATACAATGGACCACTTGAGAACCCTATAGCTACCACTCATGTTAATGACCAGGATTAAGTTGTCTTATTTCACTGGGAAGACCACACATTATCATGCATGGTCAGGACTCAGCACAGAGTTATATAACATGTGATAAGATACTATAAGTCCATAACCAAGTTCTGCTAGGCCGCTATAATGAACCAGAGAATAATTTATGGTTTTACTAACAATGAAGAATATTTGGTATAGCCTCTTTGTAATGCAGGCAGAAATGACCCTGGAAAATTGCATAAGAGAGGAAATAAGTTAAAAAAAAAAATTTAAAGTTCATAACACAGTGGTCTTCTCTTCAAGGAAAGGAGTAGACAATGACTTATTATGCAGTCACAATTTGTCTATTATCACCTTACAAGCTTTGCTCACCGACATCCTTTTGTCTCCCCTACAAGCTACACAATATGTCCCTGCTACACATGAAAAAGTAAATAGAAAAATCCCACTTGCTCAAATTATTTATTTTCTATCGGAACATAATACATTTTGACATGCTCAGATCTTCTATTTGCTCCTGATATGACCACTTCTACAGACAACATAAAAGGCCACGACTTGCCACAAAATATTTATTTTCTATGGTAACATAAGTCAGTTTGACGTACTTGGGCTATTCTACTGCTTCTGGCATGACCATGTCAATATACCAAACACCAAATATTTGTCTACCAGTTGACCTTCAGTGACTAAATAGGCATACTAGGTAATGAAGAAAAAAAAAGAAATTTGTTAAAGGTGTTCCCACATGGTTGATGAATTCAGTGACATGCCACGTAAAACTAAGCGATCTGTTTTTAAGAGTATGGAAGGTACTAAGGAAATAGGAAAAAAGAAGCTCACTGTCTACCTAACACATATGGATTTGGTTAATCATATAGCTTTTGAGAACATATTTATTATATTAGTAGAGTTCTTCACTAATTGAGCTTCCCGACAAAGGTAAAAGAATCCTGTAAAAGTCTAGAGTGAAAGCAGAGTTTCCTATTTGTTTGAGTCATTCTCCAATGTCAAACAAAATCAAAATTCTCAGACAATATAAGATTTTCTTGAATCTATTTTTTATCTTTTTTTTGGCAAGAAATGTTAGCTTTTTCATTACCAAGTGAGAATTAAGTACAGACCCTGCCATTACAAGCAAATGATAGGTAAATTACTAATCATCAAAACCACCACACAAAAAACAACCTATACGCCGCTTCTATATACTTCACTAGATACAAACGCATAAAACCAAACTTTCTGCACATTACCAAAGCATCATCTACACCACCACTTCATCACAAGTTCCTGAACAATAAGAACCAGGTCTATCAGCTCCTCTTACTAACAAATACTGGCTGAATTTTGTCTAACATAATAAAACTCGTTTCAGGTATATTGAATAACTACTACTTTTCTTGCTGATAAAGTCACATAAAGAAGATTAGATCCCACGACATCACAACTAGGCCACTATTAATATTAAGGCATAAGTTCTTCTCAAGCTGTTCCACTTGACCATACTGCCTACTTGAAAGCTTTATTTTATTTTTGATACACCTGCTGAGTCTGCGAAAAGGTTTACTATACAGTGGAATAATAAAACACAAAACATCATCCAATAATTTAAAAAGGCATGAAACTTTGAAGAGAAATTATGATATCTGCTGATATCAAATCATACATGCAAGCACATGCACAGATATAAAGCATGATTTTTTTTTTTTTTTTGCACACAAGGTAATGAGCATGTGCCCACAATACACAGACACAAACATGACATTACTTTTACTCATACAGACTCCAAACAAGGGGTTAAGCTGGGGATTCTCTTATGATAACCATTTTATAATGTAAATTCTTAACTCTTGAAAATTAGGTATTTTTGCAATTTCTACGAATCGAGGTCTATTAAAACAAGTTCTTAAATAGATATATATATTTTTTCTTTTGATAGATATGAAAATTGACAAACATGGATTTCAAAAGAAGTTTTACCAAATTCTTCATTGACATATAGCTGTGTTGGACTCCAATTCTTATCATATCCTTCTCTATAGCATTTATCCTTCTAGAGACATCTGCATGTGAGAACATGTTTCCTTTCTCATAAGGTATATTTATATTACCAAATAAAGAAAATAGGAGCTCATATGTCCTGATATTTGGCTTGATTTGTAAATGCTTCATCTTAGCCAATATATGAACAGCACGATCAGGTTGATCCTGCAAAGGCACATCCAGACAGTAAGCAACCATCAAATGATCATCACACATATTTAATCATCTGAAAAATCACATATCAAAAGAAAAGCTTATCTTCTAAGACAACAAACCAGGAAAGTTATTAAACTGATGGTTTGCTGCATGGTTAAGATATTCCAGCCTCACATGTAGTTGCTAAAAAATTATGCATTTTAATCCTCCAAACATAATGGTTCCAAAACGAAGTAGTTTAGAAGGTTTTAAAGTACATGATTTTCTTCGCACATGTCTTTTATAAAGTGTAGATCAAGGTGTATGGATCGCCATTAAAATATCTACAGTGTAATTTAGTAGGTGTGAGCAAAACTTTATAAAAGATTTAGAAGCAAATACTTCTCATTTGAATTCGATGTTTAGCAATTCATATGAAACATCCACTATGTTAAAGTTGATATACATCTTCTAAAATTATTCTTAAAGTAGCAAATTGCTTACCAGTAGACTGCTTGAGACCTGACAAAGGTCTGTGATGATTTTTAAGTTTTTATATCAAGATCAAAATTTTGAATCGGTATCTGTATGCCTAAATGTAGACCTAAGCAAAGTACCGTTTCAACCATTCAGTTTGTGCTACTTGATGCAAAAGAAAGAACAATTCACAACACTGGATTTTGCATTTCTATATTACAAATATAGATAGAGAGAGAAAGAGAGAGAGAAAGAGAAAGAAGAGAGAGAGGAGAGAGAGATACTTGGATCTTTTAGAAACGAATTCGAGCTAAATTCTTCCCATTGAAATTTCATGCATGGGCATCTATTCATATATCCACTCTTGTTGAAGTTGCTCTATTACATTTTAAGTACCTATAAATTGAAATCGAGTACTTTCAAAAAAAAAAAAATCCACGCATCAAGCAAGCACGAATAAATGGTCAAAAATGGCGTCTTGCTTAGATCACCACTTCAGGGCATAGAAAATTTTGATTGAAACATTTATTTTTTTATCTGAACATTTAAAAACTCTAGTAAAACGTATGTTGTTGGATCCCAAACATTTTATATCATTAACCTAACTCAGACTTAGGCTATTCATTTTGCATTTTATTCACACACTAGGAAAAGAAGCTTCTTTTCTTTAACACGCTTTAGATGACGAGGATCAATTTTAACATAATGGAGGAATCACGTGAATTGTTGAACATTGAATTTAAATGGGAAGGATTTGACTCTTAATTCTGCTAGAGTTAAGCAAGTATCTCTCTCTTTGTACATATAAATATACATATATATGTGTATTGGGTATGAGCTGTCACCTCATTTAACAAAATGAGCTACCAAAAAAGAGGAATGGTGACATCCACTAGCTCCAATGTGCCTAGCAGGATGAACCTCACCATTAATCTATCTCCGGGTAACACATTTAGCAAAATAAGCTGCCAGCTCAAACCCACTTTTCCTTCCATGTGTATGATTTGGATATCAATAAACACAGGGTGTAACTAAGTTACACAAGCCTATGAAATACAATTTGGTTAGTACACACAAAAAAAGTGGTCCAACGACTTCTATGACATTCATCAATAGCAGATTGTCCACTTGGATGACGCCATCATAAAAATACAAAGTTGGGAACAAACTGTCCCTAGAGAACTATAAAGAGCTACCCAAACAGACATGTCAGCATATATAGACAAAGATAGCTGAGAACCTGAACTGACGGGAGGCTCCTATAAGGAACAACTCATGGAAAATCAAATAAATATGGAAACTCTTATGGAACAAACAATTTATTCATTAATCAAGGGATATAAAGTGGAATAGGAAAGGATGCACAACTGTTACAAGTGTTCTATTCGATCTTAATATCGACTTTTAGAACTTGATGCAACACAATTAATAACATTCGTGGCACAGTCGCAAAAACTAGGCCGAGCTTATAACCTGATAAGCCATAAGTTGCATCCAAGCACTTTTATGTATAGTGAGTAACAACACAAGAAGAGGCACGGTTAACTAGATTTCTTTTAGGGCAGTGGTGATATGCTTGAAATGCTATATCTTATAACCAAACATCCAGGCAGCGCTTGAAATGGCTTGGAAATGTAAAAAAGGGTTAGGCTCTAGTTTGGAATCATAAGACTACTCGGCAGTGCTTTTAGTATTGACCAAAATGATCTTTGATTGAGAGTGTAAAGAGCTGCTTTGGAATGATAAGATTATGTGACAGCGCTTTCACGTGGCAGTGCTTTTAGTATTGACCAAAATGCATCTTTGATAGAGAGGGTAAAGAAAGACCCTAATGTAATCGTTGTTCTGTGACTGTGTTCATGTGAATGTGCACAACCAGAAAAGAAGACCTGATTCCAAAACTGGATAAAAAGATTATGAGGTGTGATACACGTCCCTGGATTTTCCAAAGAGTATTAAGGGGTTTTTCCTACTTTTAAAACATACCATGGGATGCAATACTGATTACCGGAAACCTGCTTTTTATAATTTCCAGTTTTAGGATTAAGGGGACACATGTAATCATATGCCAAAACTTAGTAAGGCTTCTAGATTGAGATGGACAAAGAGAGGAAAGCTATCCCTTGCAATCCTCGTTATTAACATAGATACAACCCTACAAGAAATAAGTACTAGGAAACAAAACAGGTCATATAGCATGGAACAATTTGCGGAAGTCATTTAGCAGGAGCAAGATTACCATAATATCACATGCAGCCAAAATAGCATTAAATGGATGAATATACTTTGGTAGACCATAAGAAATTTTCTCCAACAAAGCCTCAGCTATATCCAGCTCAAAATTTTTGCTGTGACCAGTTGACAGAACTGCAAGAGTATCATTATAAGGCTTGATGTTATTCTTTTCCATGGATTCAATCTGCAAAATGATGCACAAGAATGTCAAAGACAAGAGATACGAGAAGTTGGCTATTCTTCTTAGAAGTAAAATTACTAAATGCAACTCTAAGGTAAAAACTAAAAAGAGCTGTATGAGGCAGAAAATATTTACTCAAACTTACTGGTTTACTCAAAACTGAGTTTTAAACAAATGAAAGAATGTAGGAAGCGATTTATGATGACTTGTAGTTTAAATACTTAGTTTTGATTTCTAAAAACATTAGACATCAAACTATCAAGAGAAATTACCACTTTCATGCCGTAAGTCACTCCTTTCCCGTAAACTACAGCTTTGACAAAGCCATCATATGTATCTCCTGACGGTTTCAATCCAAGGTCATGCATCTAGACAGAAAAGTATAATAGACAAAATTATATTAACTTGACCAAAAAATGCTTGGAGAATAGTGAACAGTACAAATAAATAATATTCAACATTTGGCCTCAGGCGAGATGAGAATGAACATATCAAGAGCATTAACACATTTCAATAATAATGAAAGGTGTTAAAATTTCCTTCAGCTCCTTATGGTCGGAAAAGCTGGAAGTGGAAGCAAAGACACTTTCGCCAGTAGATCTTATTACAAGAGAGAGAACCTTGCAAGTAAAGCAAGCACATTGGTATAGTAGATTTCAAAATTTTCTCAAAGAAACTTATCAAGCTTCAATTGAAGCAAATGCAAATTATGGAATTTTTCTTCTAAGTACTCAGAAGACACTCAAAAAGAAAGGTTGAAAAAGTATAGAAAGTCAGAATTACGTTAAAAGAATGAAGGACAAAAGTCAAAAACGTAAAACATTTCAAATATATTATGTTGAAGAAAATAAGCTGGAGTCCATGTCAATTGAACAAAATATCTCATATGATTCACACAATGAAACTTGGGGAGTAGCGATGGATTCTAGTTAATGGCTTATTTGAGATGTGATTTTTAGGAAAATACCAAAACCAGGTGGACCTTTGTGCATGCATATATATCTAAGATTGGTAATAATTTCAGGTAACATAATTAGTTATATAGCTAATAGGTGTATGCAAAGCTCAATCACACATACATATGAAGAATGGTGGTTCTTTCTTTTCTTTTCTTTTTTAACTTCTGGGAGAAGACGAGGTTCAGGATTGGAGTTGTTTGGGGATCACATTATTGAATAGGTAAGGAATTAAGTAGAAGGATAGACGAGCTAACCTACTCCTGCTCTGAAAAAAAATAATAAAGGAAAGAAACCAATAGGAAGAATAGAAGTTAGGTTTTGCTGTTGGGAAAGAATACCGAAGGAACAGGGATGAAAGGCGGCTGATTAGTTTCATAAGAGTAATAGGGAAGCATAAAGAAAAGGAAGAATTTCTAGCAGAAGTTATATAAGAATCTCTTCAGTTCAAGGAATGTGGAAACATTTTTCCTTCCCATTGCCGAGTGGTTTTCAGTGGAAATACTACTATTCTATCAAATCTGGAAAGGTTTGCTACTGGTTTTCTGAGTACAAATTTTTTTATACACTGTCCACACAAGTTCTTAGTTTGAGAAAGGGTTTCACCACCATCAAAGGGTTGCTTTACCATTGGGTAAAGTAAATGATTGATCAATAATTATTGATATCATTATTGCCCGCAGACTTATCATTATATTGATACTGTTATTGCTCAAATGAGTTACAAGTGATTGTTTATACTCATGGCATTTATATGAATGACATGTATTTTAAATGCCTTAGTCAAACTTCCATCTTTAACGAACAAATATCAAAGTAGCCTAATGTCATGACCACATAACACTGACTTAGAAGACAAACAATAGGCATATTGAATGACAAAGAAGTATAGAAAGGAATTAGGATTATGTAACAAAGTGAATTGCCACATAGAACATTTTTGACATGAAGCTCATAAGGAAAAATTAAATGCTGGTTTACCATTTACCAAGATCGTGTGGCAACTATACCCTTACCTGCATGAATAAGCGCTCAGCTAGTTCGTATTTTCCAGCTTGTGCACAAGCATGTATTACATTGTTGAAAGACCATCTTAAGACATTTTTAACCGGTGGAGAAGCCTTTGCTTTCATTTCCTCAAATCCCAGCCCTTCATGTTTTACATTTTCCATCTTCAATTCCATATAATCGTCCTTCTGAAGATACTGATCATCACTCTCAGAAACATCAGCAGAAGGGAACATCTCTGAGTAGATTTTATCTTTCTCAAGTGTATTCGATATTCCATTTTTAAGAGTAACTGGCACATGGAATGGATCTAGATTAAAACTGTCAAGGAGGAAATCATCATCAACATTGTCAAATGACCCCGTATCCATTGTTGTCTTATGAATATTTGAAGAATGTTTCATGTTTCTCAATCCAAATATCTTATATGGGAACTCATTAGTTGACGGAATGGGAATATCTAGCCTTGATGACTGATATTTTCTCGCAGAAGATGTCCTAAGAGGAGCGCTTTCTCGGTTAGCTAAAGCTACCATATGTTGCAAAATTGCATATGCTGATTTCAGGTCATTTAACCTTGTAAACGACCAGATAAATTTTCTCATAGTTATAATGCTTGGAGTATAGTAATTAGTGCAATCTTTCCAAATATCATAAACTGCTGATAAATTTTTCTGTGAAACTGCAAACTGCAACATAATTAAACAATTGACAGTCAGATGAAATGCCACATGTGAGTAACTTCGACTACGTATGAAATAAAAAAATAAATACTGAGCGGATGACAAAAAATTAAATAGTAAAAAGGACAAGTTCAAAGAGGTATATCCCTTTGACAAAATGGATATGCACGTAGAAGTATCTGTAAAATAAAATTATACATCAAAATAAACGAATAAATTTACAATGAGTCATTTGGTTTGAAGGGGAAGACTTAATTCCACGTCCTTTGCAAGGAGAAAACAGTAAGTAACTAACAAAATAACCAACTAAGAAAACAGTGAATTTGCATTGGAAATAGATTTCTCACAATAAAAATTGTGCAAACCCAAACAATAGATTTGAAGTTAATTCCTGCAACAAATGTTGCATGCATGCTACTGCAACATTTGCTACAATTCATTTTTGCAGCAAACCAAACAGCCCTAAGTACTTGGAAATCATGAAATCAAGGAACTCTGCACATTTATTAGGTTAATTTGAAAATTATAGATGCATATACCTTGTTTCCAGAGAAGAGACGTACGTTTCATTGCATTAAATAAATCAAAGTTTAAAGTCTACAAAACAAAAGGTCACTACCAATAAAAGTTGTATAGTTGTGCTTATTATAGCAAAGGAGTTATTCTTACTTTCAACTTTTAGCTAACAAATGCATATATCTTCTATCATGGACCATGGTAATAGGAAAATCCATTCTCATCAATACGTCATTGTGGAATCATGCTGATTAGAATGCATGAAATATGTAATCCAACTGACAATGTACAAAAAATATACCAGAGCACTGAAATGTGAAGATGTGGTTATTGCACAATGTGGAAGTACAAGAAAATCCAGCAAGGTAATAGTTGTGAACAACAATTGACGTCCCAGATTGTCCTACTATCTTTTATGCCCTGAAAAAGTGAATCTGGCCATTGATTTATTTCTAGTGGTCTTATATTTTAGGATGTATTCAAATATTGCAAATTCTTATATCATTAATAACAAATAAACTAAACAAGAAAGAAGATGACCACTCTGAACAGGATTTCGATATTAAAAAATATATAAGATTGATATAATCATTTAGTAATAATTAATTTCAAATTTTAATAGTTCAAGAGAGTAAATTTACTCTTAGAAAATAGGAAACAAGGAACTTGAATGTCCATCACATGCCTAAAATCTAAATAAAAGAGAAAAGGACATTAAGTTGAGGGTAGTAATATAAGAGGTAAGGAATGAAGAGAATGCATCAAATAAAGAACTTATGTGATTTGATTTTTGCAAGTATCTCTCTCCCCAAGGTCAGCTTTTTCTTGCCTCCTCCATCATTGGATGCTGTAATCGGCACAAGACATGCAACATTCAGGGGCAGTAGATGGGAAGAACTTTTAGGGTGGAGCAGAAATCATGTACAGGTTAGAAAACCAGCTCCTCACTAGTTTAGCAAGATAGGGCTATAATCAAAAAAGGATTGGGAAGTTACCATTACACAATTGTCGGCAATGTAGAAAGAACATCACATTATAGTAGATATATCTTCAATATTAGTATTTAGTACTAACAACAGTTAAATCATCTAATTTACCACAAACCTTGAGAAGCCCCCAATACGTTATTTCAGACTTCCCCACAAATTGTTTCTCCATCAGCTCTATACAATGGTCCACATCAACAAAGCTTTGCCTACTTCCAGATTCACTTAAGAAAATATTACTCAAGGAAAGCATAGCATGGGCAAAGTCATTATCACCAACAAACTTAAGCCAATCAAATGCCTGAGATGAAAACCAAACATAAAAATAAATATTATGTGAAAGTTAACGTAGGATAATACATAATATGGAGTTGAATAAGACAGAATTTTGATCATATAGTTGAACTAGGTCATGCCATGCACAGAAAGTAAGATGACTTATTTTGGCTTGTTGAGAGATATCGACAAATATGATGTCTGCAGATCAAGGAGAAACATAAGTTTTTTTAATAATACAATTTGA